AAATGGGGTTGTGTTCATAGATATCAAAAAGGCATTTGACTCTATAAACCATCGCATTTTGTTAAATAAAATGAATGAGCAGTTTGGAATTTTTGGCGTAGAATTAAAATGGTTTGAGTCATATTTAACAAATAGAGAAATAGAGAACAGCAATGTAATGTTAATGGAGAATTATCTAGTAATAAAATTATCACCTGTGGAGTGCCCCAGGGATCTATACTGGGACCACTGCTGTTCTTATTATATATTAATGATTTGCCCGATTGTTTCAAATCAACTAATCCATGCATGTACGCGGATGATACTCAAATCTTTTCATCTTCCTACGATGCAAACGAACTTGTTGTAAATTTAAATTCAGATCTTGCCCATGTCTGTAACTGGCTTAAAGAAAATAGGCTGCAGATGCATCCATCAAAATGTAAAATGATGTTTATTGGCTCCCTGTATAATCTTAATAATATAATGTGTGAGGAACCCGTTGTGGCTAATGCAAAACCCATATCACGAATTGCTACACAAATGTGCCTAGGAGTAAAACTAGATGAAACCCTTTAATTGGGATAGTCACATTGAAATGATATGCAAGAAGGCGAGCGCTGCTATTGGCGCTATGAAACGTATAAAGCCCTTTGTTCCAATGCATACCTTAGAATCGATTTATAAAAGTCTTGTGCAGCCCTACTTTGATTATTGTTCCCCCTTTGGGACACTTGTGGTAAGTTGCTAAGAGACAAGTTGCAAAGATTTCAGTCTCGTGCAGCAAGAGTCCTAACGGGTGCTAATTATGATACTCGCTCAGCTGATCTTCTCAACATGCTTTCTTGGGATACATTTGAAAATAGGCGGTCTGGTGCTAAGTCAGTATTAATGTATAAAATACTTAACGACCACACTGCGCCAGGTCTCCGGGGGTCATTCGTGAGAAGAGAAATAGATCAAACTAATTATCATCTTCGAAACACAGCAACTGATCTAACAATTCCTAAACCGAAACGAGAATTTCTTAAAAAAAGTTTTAAATATAGCGGCGCTATGCTCTGGAATCAACTCCAAAACGAAGCAAAATTGGCCGAGTCGCCTCATTCGTTTAAATCAATTGTTGGACAGCGACATGCTTCCTAATTATTTGTATATAGTAACGTGTACAGTATGTGTGTACTAATATTTAGTTTAAATTTTCCTTTTAATGATTTTTAAGATCTAAACACGCCCCCCATGGAAACCAGCCTAGAGTTGATGGAGCTAGCGTGTTCTCCTTTCTGTTAATTTTAAATAAAGTATTACCTACCTACCTACCTACCTACCTTCACTTTTTAACAACAGTCAGTAATAAACAAAGTTAAATGATATTATTTCAGTTACGCGTGTAGATAAAATAACGTGAGGTATTTTATGATATTTTTTTCCATTTAGAACTCTGTAAATCTCCTTCTAAAGTGCAGGAAATGGCATTTCAGAGATTCTAGTTTAAAATATCCTCGTAGGGCATGCTCCCGGATCCCCCAGAAAGTCACCTGCCATCACCCCCTTCGGCGGGCACTAAATGTGCCCCTCCACACTTTTACAGCCGCTCCGACACCCCTGGTTATCTCACTTATCTGTACGGAAATAAAGTCATATAATTGTATCAGACTTTAAAGCAATGATAAAATTGAACATCCAGATGATTGTTCAACCTCGTACCCAAGATCTTTCTGGAAAAGGCTATTTAGCCTATTTTGAGGTTGATTTTGGAAAATATTCAACGTATTTTATTTAATTTTATGAAGGAAATTTGAAGGAAACTTCACAATTTTTTGGAGGAAATTTCGGTCAAAATAAGGACAAAAAAAGGATTTTTTGGTTTTTCAAAGTGGAAGCACTGCAAAGCATGTTCATAAATATCCTACACTCCCCCCGTTGACCATGACTTATGACTTACAATGGTCAACATAACAGTTTCATAACTAAGTAATCAAATGTTAACAACGTTGATGTCTACAAACTTCCTGATTCAATGAGTTCCTGTCTCTTCGCTTGTGCCTTTCTTGCTGCCTCCTTCTCAATTCCGTCTTCTGATCGTCTTTCTCTGAAGCGTTCTCCGTATTATCTCCTACCGTTACAATTTCTTCATCGCCTTGCCACAACTCAACCGGGTATAATTTCCGTACATTTTCCTCCTTTGTCTGTTAATTTCCTAACTACCGCTCCGCGAATAGCCCCGTCCTTTCCTTCTATCAGTTTCTCGATTCTACCGAGTTTCCACTTTACTCTACGTACGTTCTCTTCGTGAATAACTACAACATCTCCAACTTTAATACAATTTCCTTTGTGTCGTGTAGTCTTCTGTCGATGAGCATTGCGTAACTCAAGCAGATACTCGTTCTTCCATCTCAGCCAAAAATGTTCCTTTAAGGTTTTAAGATACGATACTCGTCTTGCAACTTTGTTGTTGGTTATCTCTTCAATTCTCGATTCCTCTCCTGGCTTAACTGCGTCCGGCAACGAGTTTATTCTTGTTCCATTTATCAAATGTGAAGGTGTAATTGGTTCGTCTAGGTCTTCCGTAGACACATACGTTAGCGGTCTCGAGTTTAGTGTTGCTTCTATCTCCGTAAGCACGGTATAAAGTTCTTCGTTGGTGACGCTGGCATTTTTAAGAATCTTGTATAAACATCTCTTCACACTCTTAATTAGTCTCTCGAAGAACCCTCCCCACCATGCTGCCTTCTCAAGGTTGAATGTCCATCGAATTCTTTGATCTGAAAGGTATTTCTTCACTTCTGGAATCTCGAATAGGGCTGGTAATTGTTTTGAAGCCGCTTTAAATGTTTTTCCATTGTTTGATTTCACCTCTCGTGGTATTCCTCGGCGGGCTGTGAATCTCCTAAAACTTCTTATAAAGGCTTCTGCCGTCATATCACTCACAACATCCAAATGTACTGCTCGCGACACAGCACAAGTGTATATAACCATGTAAACCTTCTCCATAGCCACTGCCTTCACTTGTTTCACATAAAGTGGTCCAGCGAAGTCCACCCCTGTGTACGTGAAAGGGTGATCTTTCGTGATTCTAAATACTGGTAATGCTAGTGGATCTGGTGGTTTGTATGCAATTCCTTCCTGTCGTCGACATACTGCACATTCATGTATCAGTTTTCGCACCTATTGACGACCTCTAACAATCCAAAATTTCGATCTAACCTCTGTTAAGGTTTCTTTTACACCATTGTCGTTGCGAGAGATTTGCCAGGCGGAAAACGAATTCGTATAATAAATATGAGAGCCTAACATATAACTTTTAACAAAGCCATTAAAACAGTTTTAAAAGAGTATCGGAACACCTGGGACTCACTCCTATAACAGGCCAGCCGTCATCCAGTCCAGTCATGTCTAGTGTTTTCTCTCACTTAAATACTACAGGGCACTCTTTGACGACTTCAAAATTCTTTCTGCCAACTTTGACGACTTCAAAATTCTTTCCTCTTCCTCAGACACTTGTGAATTATTGATTCACGAAAGCCTTTTTATATCTAAACTCAAACCTACTCTTAACGTTCAGGGTAGCTCTATTCCGCTTAACCTTCTGTAATTTGCCGTTTTCTTGTGTCTGTTTTGTTTCCTCATTTGTATCGTCCTGTCTTACATACACCCTCTTATCCTTTATTATCCTTAGTAACATAACACCTTGTAAATAGATTATAATTAGCTTATATATATATTCACATCTCGTGTAATTTTATCTAGTCTGAAGATGTCTTAAGTTAAAGACGAAACGTTACAATTAAAATTCTTTACAATCTTTTAAAACTGTTTTAATGGCTTTGTTAAAAGTTATATGTTGGGCTCTCATATTTATTATACGAATTACACCATTGTGTTTTACTCTTTCATGACTATCTCTCACTAGTAGTGACGTTACATAATGTTCCGCATCCAAGATTGCTGGGTGTTTCTGCGTCGTAGTTAATTCTGCATTCTTGAGTCTGCCTTCACATCTAAAAATACCTCTTTCATCACGGTACAGTCCGAATTCTCGCTCCCATTTTTTTGTCTTCGCCTTCGACATCAGTTGAAATTGAACATCTTTTAACAAACGTTCCTCCGCTTGTAGCGTGTAGTCTGTTAATGGCTTTGCTTTAACGGTCGGATCTCTCTTCGATTTCAACATCTGGATAAATTTCAACACTATCGCTGTAGTTCTCTGTAGTTTGTTTAAGCTACTAAATCTCTTACAATCGATAATTTCACCAATATGTCCTACTTCACAGGTCGTGTTAAAGATGACGTTTCTGAAGGTTTCTTTGACTTCTTTAATTTCATTTGCTTGATCACTTTCTCTGGAGGTTCACTCTCATTCATACTTGTTTGTTCACTCGGATCGGCGTAGATCTTCAGCCATTCTGGTCCGCTAAACCACATACTGTTTGATAGTTCTACTGGGGATGTTCCTCGCGACGGAATGTCAGCCGGGTTATTTTTGCTAGCACAGTGATTCCACAGTTCTGGTGGAACAAGACTTCTTATTTCTAGGACTCTATTTTGTACAAACTGTTTCCACTCACGAGTTTCGCCACATATCCAGTAGAGCGCAACTTCCGAATCCGACCAACAACGTATGGATGAAATATCGATATATCCTTTCAATGCTTCCTTTACATGCGTTATTAATCTTGCCAATAATAGTGCTGAAAGCAGTTCAAGTCTCGGTATAGATTACTTCGTCAAAGGCGCTACTCTAGTTTTTGAAGCTACGATGTTCAATTGGACGCCATCTCTTGTTTCTAAGCCTTAAATACACAACCGCCGCATACGTCTTCACTGATGAATCACAGAATCCTTCCAAACTAGCGGTGATATCTTCAGATATAACTCTGTTGAAATAACACCGTGGTATTTTAATTGGCGTCGCTTCTCTTAATTCCTGTTGTAACAATTTCCAACTATTGGATGACTCTTCATCTAACGGTTCATCGCACCCAATGTCTTTCTTAAATAAGCTCTGACAAAACAGTTTCAGTTTTACAGTCAGTGGCGTAATAATTCCCATAGGATCATAAATTTTCGACGTCACTCGAACAACATCTTTCTTTGTTGGGTGTTGTTTGTGCTCCTCGTCAAGAAATTGCTTGCAGTCGAAAACAAAACAATCTTCTTCTGTGCACCACTGTACTCCGAGTAGTTTCTCTGTCATCGATTGCGAACTTTGCGGTCCGGTCATAGTTTTTGCAAACGATTCGTCTTCTTCTTTACAGGATGTGTCTTTCCCGAATATCTTTCTCTTCTCGTCCGCAGTATTCAGATGTTTTTCATTCTCCTTTATTCTTTCCATCAGGGCTTTCGAATTGGACACAAACTTTCTGGCGTTGAATCCCCCTTCAGCTAGTCCCTTCTTCAGTTTGATGTACAATCGATAGGCTTCATCTTCTTCTTCGTCACCTGTTGCGATATCATCCACGTATAATGACTGTAACAATCTTTCTACAAACTCTGGGTCTTCCCTTTGGTATGCTGAGATATGGTACTTTAAGGTTGCATTCAACAAAAACGGACTCGAAGATAATCCGAAGGTGACTCGAGTAAATTTGAGTTCGATCACGTTTGGAGTTTCTTTCAAGGGATCATCAACCCATAAGAATCTAAGTACGTTGCGATCTTCTTCAGCCACTGAGATCATGAGGAATGCTTTTTCGATGTCTCCCTCCAGCGCAATCTTGTGTACTCGGAATCTCATCAGAATATCGGCTATTTTCTCAGTTAATGGTGGGCCGGTATATAAGCATTGATTTAAGGATGGACCACCACTCTCCTTCGACGATGCATCGTAGACCACTCTAACCTTTGTAGTCTCTCTGTCC